AGACACCTGGGGATCATCCACACGAGGGCTGAAACACGAGACACCTGGGGATCATCCACACGAGGGCTGAAACGAGAGGCTGGGTTAAACGAGGAACAGGTGCGGATCGTTAGCACCACACCACGGGGAACATGGGGGAAAGAGGCATTCGGGACGTGACTGATGTTTTTAGTTATATTTCGTGGTGAAACAACATGCACCCTAAACAGTGTTAGTCTTATTTTAAATTATGAAATCATTATTTTTAAATTCTTTTAAAATCTTTCTTACATCGCATCTTTTCAAATTCGGTCCCTCCCAATGTCAGACTACTTCCGACGCCAATGCCGTCGGGTCTACATTGATTCCCGGTGAGCACATGGACAACATTTCTCCAGAATCTGTAATTGTATAATTTATATAATTGATTTATATAATCTAGGCCTAAATCACAACATGACAGTTTTAGCGATGAAGGTTGTTACTCAAAATGTCACTGTGTTTGTGCGGATGTCCGATGTAATGTTCATTTCAAATTATGATTAGCAGGAAATGTTCGTACATCACCGCTATACACAGAAAGCAGTCAAATACATCAGTCAATAACATTTTATTCTCTACCATAAAATACACAGCAATCAGAGTCCACGTTAAACTCTTTACTTAGGAAATGTAATTAAGGCAGTGGTAACGCCTATCAACTGACATTTAAGAAAATTACTTTACAACTTTCACAAACTGTAAAGAAATACCCGGCAATTCTTCTTTAAAACACGCACACAGTACACAGCCTTAAATGACAGTATTTCCACACCAGCTTTGACTCTCCGCGTACAAGCGGCACTTAGACTAAGACACACAGCACCAGTCATTCATTTGGGTCACGGAGGATAACAACACACTGACACCTAAACTTTAACTCGTACTCGGGTGACGGCTGCAACATTTTTAATGTATGACATATGTAGGTGCGTATATATTATACATACTACATACATAATACATGTATACAATGCACACTTCATTTCTTTACTTCTGCTTTTTAACTTCTAGACGGGAAAAAGGTTTCACTACTGCAGGATTCTCACACATCAACAGTCAGCACATCAGAGGAATGTGTAACTCTAAGGATGACCGAGTGATGCCTCCCTTACACCCCCACAACAAACCCTTTGGAACGGAAAAGTAACCAGTAACCTGAAATTAACATTCTTTTCCTTTCCAGGGCAGAAAATAGGAGTAGAGAACTGTCTAGGACCAAGCTTGTCACTCCTGTTCTAGGCTTAAACACCAAAATAACGAAGCACATCCATCTGTACCTGCTCTGTCCCACCCTCCTGCTCCACCAAGCCTCACTGCCACTGGACGCCCCACCCCCCAGAGAGGCAGGCTTGGCACTCTGTGCCCCTCTCCAGACTGTTCCAACAGCACCCCCTAGTGGCCCTGATGAAGGGCCAACTGCTGACCATCTTTCTGCAGCTGCAGCCTGTCCTTCTCCACCTGGAAGCGCTCCTTCTCCATCTGCAAGCGGCCTGACTCGAACTTGAAGAACTGGAGCCGCTCCTTCTCCAGCTGCAGACGCTCCTTCTCTAGCTTCAGCTTTTCCGCCTCCAGGTCCACGGGCTGCCAGGGCTTGCGCTCTTTCTCGCAATCCATGGGCGTGGCCTGTGGTGGTGGAGGCGGGGCCGGTGTCCGTTCTGCCTGAAACATGAGCAGCCGAAGTCGCTCGCGCTCCACCTGAAGCCTCTCCTTCTCCAGCTGCAGCCTCTCCCGCTCCACCTCCACCTGACGTAGCTTGTCCTTCTCCACCAGGAGGCGCTCCCGCTCCACCTGCAGGCGCTCCGTTTCCACCTGCAGCCGATGCTTCTCCAGATCCAGCCGCTGCCTCTCCAGGGCGATCAGCACGCCTGTGCTGTCGGCACCGGCCACGCCCGACACACCCACTCCGGTCACGCCCGCTCCCAGACCCGTTCCCGAGCTCGCCCCCAGGTCCCTGGCAGCGGATGGCTTGGTGGCACTCAGCATGCCAAACTCATCAATGTGGGCGAACACCTCTGGGATGCGGCTCTCGCGTTCCACATCGGGCAGGACAGAGGGGAAGCAGTCGTCGTCCTCATCCTCGGCTTCGCCCTCCGCATCCCCAGCCTCGCCATCCAGCTGCAAGACACCAGAGACGTCCTGTCAACCCTCACCTCCACCTTGACCGGGCGACACTCACACCAGACACCCTCAAGCTAAGTAACGTACCCTGTAGGCGCTGCCCTCCTCATCCTCCAGCTTGATGCTGGACGAGGGGTGACTGCTGGGTTCTCCCAGGTCCGGCAGGTCGTGCCAGTCGCAGGTGGAATCCTTGGGGAAGCCGCTCAGGTCCACAGACTGGTCCCCACTCAGCGAGTTGTCGTTGTCCGGTGACGAGTGGTCATACTCATTCTTCAGGCCTGATAGCTCTGCCCTGATCTGCTTCCTCTTCATCATCGCGCGCCAGTCCAGGTAACGGCGCTTGACCTCAGCCGCCGTGCGCAGCTCGCCCTCGCCCAGCGAGTTGACACAGTCGGCCACCTCGTCCCAGGCGCGCCTCTTAAGCTCATTGATGGCAGTATTCTGCTGCCGGGAGAACAGCACGTCGCGCCGCTTGTGGATCTCCCGGATCAGCGTCTGCGTCTCCTTCACGCTGTAGTTACTCTTCCGCTTCCTCTTCAGGTGCTTCATCTGGAGGAAGTCCAGCGTGGTAGCTGGGCGCTGGGAGGACGTGGCGGGGGCGTATCACCGGCTCTGCCAGAGGGTGGGGGCTCCGTAATGCTGGCTTGGGTCTCCTTCCCTGGTGCGGAGCCTCTCTCAGGGTGTCTGCAAACAGGAGAAGAGTCATCAACACAGGCAAATTCCCTCCATAGAAAGCTGAACTCACTTAATCATTAACTGCCACACCACCTGCTGTTTCAGATTGACTTGCTTCGTTTAATTATATGGCAGTGCCGTTTTTCCTTCCTGCAGGAGCCTTCACTTTGTCTGTAAAAAAATACAGGAAAAATCACTAGCAGAATGTGGCTGACCTCAGGTTTGCAGATTTCTATGCTGGTCTTGGGGAAAATCCGTATGCAATAACCGTCCCCCCCTTCTAGATAGGTACTGGATTTCTGCCTTACTCCCCCATACTCCTCAGTTATTCACTCGCAAATTCCATTAAGATGCTCCACATTTCACCTCTGTTTCAATGATTAGTGGTGGTCTCAGTTTCATAAATAGCGCCGCCCTTGCGTTAAGTTAGCTTCAATTTTAACACGCTGATTATGTGACCTTAATGACGCATAATTTTCTTTTATTAAGGACTGCAGTAACTTAAACATCCTATCCCAAGCATCAGGCAAGACCTCAAATTCCCTGTCATTCATGTTGTTAATAAACAAAAGGGCAAATAAATAAATGTATGATTATTATTATATATATGCAGTATATATACAACATATCTTACTGAAACGCATCCCCTAATGTATGCGGTGTTACTGAAGACAGCACTAAAAATACATCATCAAAATTTAAATCCTGTAATCACAAGCGAGTGAGACGGACCTGTCTGCATTACTCAGATAGTCTCTGTGCAGGCAGATTTACTAATGAGCTGCCCAAAAACGCCTCTGAGAACAGCTGCTACCCAGCCTGGGAGATTAACTCAGGCTGCCTACCTTTATTGCCTGAAAGGTAGGCAGACAGCCAGGTAGGTGGGTACAAGAATAAAGAGACGTCCTAGTGTAACTGAGACGTGACTTAGTGCTACATTGTCCCAAAACTAAAATAAATACAACTAAAAAGAGCCAGATAGTATTTACCGCGCTACTGCCAAAATAATTTTAAAATATCAACAAATGAAAAATGGTTGTAATCTAATATATAATGTATGCAACATGGATATATAATAAGTAAGTGAAATATTAATTACTAAACATCGTGACATTGATCCTGAGGTCCGCGCGTAAATTGTAAAAGAATAATACGTCAGATGTCTCTGTTTTCCACTTTTTTGGAGAATGACGGTGTCGCATGCGTGCCCACATAATTTCGGAGCATTTTGGACACTGAACGCTACCCTTTTTACTGTAAACGGGGTGGCGGCGCCCGTGAAAGTTAAATAAACAGTGGTCTGGTCAACTAGTATTACAGTACTCCCGATCGAAATCAAAATTAACTTACCGGAATATTAACCAGAATAAATATCATCGGGTTCATCATCAAAGGTAAAAAAAAAAAAAAAAAAGAAAAACATATCGGAAAAACCTGAAATACGGGCAAGAATATCTCTATTCCGATTGGATGAAAACCAGTCAATCAAACTTTCGTCGTCGCTTACGCTATGAAATGTCTCCCTTTGATTGGTTGCCTATATGTCAATCATGCACTTATGTCCGCCACAGGTGTGAGAATCTGTTCTTTGATTGGTCCAAAGGTCTATCACTTATTTTCCTGGTTTGTCATTCGGCAAAGCGGTACTTGTCTTGCCCCCGCTCTCGTGGAGTTCTTCCGGCGCTCTGATTGCCCGTGAGGTGAGTGCGGAGCCCATGTCCTGCACTTCGGCTGAATTCTTCTTGATAGTTCGGTTATTAAACATGATTCTTACGTGTGAAATGTTCAGTTATGTTGAAAGTGGTACTGATGAGTTAGGCCCTAACTCTTTTTTTTTTTTTTGACTGGGTGAATTCATAATTTGTCAAACATGTCCCGACTTGGGTTATTTAACCGTACACGCGTTTGAAACACTCGGTGTTAAGTCTGGGGAGCGACCTGTAAGTGGCAGTACATGATCAAATAACATAAATCAACAACTGCATGGTGCGGGACACAAACCATTTCGCTGGGTATATTTCAAATTATTTTACCTTCCGAAGGTCTAAGGATTTATTAAAATAACGTCGTATTGCTATAGCTGTACATTTCACGAGAAGACCGTGCTTTTTATACCTGCAATTCTCCCATATATAGCAGTTGTCAGGTTTTTGCGTTAGGCTTCGCAAATCATTTCAGATGATTGATTTCAGATGATATTCTGTCATTCCAGATGCTGTGACGTAGAGGGTGAGCGCGTTGAAATTATTCGTGTGACCACGGCGTGGCACTGTTGTGTTGTTCTTTATTCTTCTGAATATGCAGCCAAGTGATCAGAAAGCATGATTCTAACTGATAACATTAACGGGAATAAATCCATGCTTCCATCCCTCTTTCATGTCACTGTCGATTTCCCAGTGCACTGTCAATCTCATCAGGTTAACAAGCCCAATTTTGCATTTGTTATAAAGGTCTCTTTGCCTTAACCTGATATATGTATTAATATTTTTTGGTGTCGTGACTTTGGCTTTTGAGAGAAATAAAGAGTGTCCTTTTGCTTGGCATTTCCCCCAGAGGCAGAGACACATCAGCCTCCTGCTGGTCTGCTGATGCATTTGTCTCCCCGCAAACGGAAGGTCGCCGGGCAGGAGGGTACGGTGTGGACGCCATGAACGTGTTGTGCTGGTGTGTTGCCATGGCAACAGTGAGGACTGGCTTGTTGTAGCCTTGGGCCCAGCTGTTTTAACAGGTGGTTCGAGAGGGATGTTATGAAACTGAACAGCGGCGGAAAGGAGGCTCTCATCGAGATGTGAAATGTCACCTGATCTGAGGTTATCTACCATTATCACATACCTGTATGCTTGGTTAACTACTGCTGTGTTTGACTCATACAATGCCGGCTTATTGATACGTAAACGAGCAACGTCTCTGCTGCAATAACAAACAGTCCTTAGAATAGACACAAATTGACTCTATAGGGCAAATTAGACCAGTTTTGTAACACAGTCACATTCTTTAAAAGGACTTGGTTCTCATGCAGGGTAATTATAAGCACTCATTGTAGTGATAACCAAGAATTACCATAGAGTTGTGTGAAGGTACTGACCCAGGTGTGTGTGGCACTGCAGGGGTGACATTTCCTGGGGGGGGGCAGAAAAACTGACTGACCACACACTCAGAACCCATACTTCACTCTCACAGGAAAAGCAATGAAATTCTATGTACGTGTGCTTGTAGAAATAGCAAAAATCTTCCCCTTATCTTTATACTGATGGAAGAACTTGTTTTTGAAGCTAAAGGAGGGTAGGATTAGTCAGTCATGCCTTGGTTTGAGCCAATGGAGAGCAGGGGACAGAGTGATGGACGGTTCTTTAATCCCGCCCCCTGTGGGTTTTAAAGCCCCTTTTCCCTATTTGTCATCATTTCTTATTACATTTCACTTTTCTTGATAACAGCACAGTGACCATTTATCCAGTGCTGATAATGTGCAAATTACATGCATGCTAACAGCTGGCTAATTTACCAATGGAACATCCCTCATGCAGAGACGCAGGCTTTAATGCACGCTCGCAATTATAGCCATCGCCTGCACCTCCAGTGCAACTCCGCCCTGAATGCACTGAGGGTGCGGCACGGCCGAGGGCCCCCCAGGCTCCAGAGAGCGACGCCTTTCCGCTGGAGCCAGGGGGCATAATGGGAAAGGAGGTCCAAATGTTAGATCATCTTAACGGCATACATGAGAACGTTTTACAAGGCCTACTGGTTGTTTTTCACTCTGGCATCAGGGTATCGGGCTTCTCAAAGAGCGCCCCCTTCAGTGGGGCTTGTGATGCGCAGCTGATTTCCAGACTCGAGAAGAAGGAAAAGCATGTTGCATCCTTCTATCCTTGCAGCTATACAGAAAGGGTTTATTGCTGTGATCTGAAGTTACCAAGATATGAAATCTTTACCGTGGGAAGTGCTGTTGCCATGGCGTCAGGATTGCTCTCCCTTCCCCCCCAATCACGCTGTTTTTCAGGCACCCTGCAGTCACCAGAGAGCATGTGCTCAGTCAGTAGGGCTTACTGGGAGATGGGAGACCCTGTGTGAGGGCTGGGGAGGGTCAACATCCATGCTATTGGTGGGGGTTAGTCTTCAAGTACTTGGTGTTTGGCGGGGGGGTCGCAAAAGGGCCATGCCCTGTGTGCCGTGACACATTACTCCTGTGATCGTCATCAAAATTATCTGTCATTTGTGCCGGTTTGTACCACATGGGATCACTTTCATTCACCTCCTGGCCACCAAACACCCTGTCTGCAGCTCCTCAGATCACTCTCAGGCTGACTGTGAACGCCCAACAAGACGTGTCGTCTCGGAGATGCTCTGACCCAGTCGTTAGGCCATAATGATTTATCTTACTGTTACCTTACTGCCTAATATAACCTAATAACCTTGGTCTGCACCATTTATTTTAAGATCGTCAAGATCATTCACTTCAAATGGGGACAATCATAATGTTATGGCTGCTTGTGTTTATAAGCAGCTGTGAAGCTGCTCAGCTTCGATTCGCCGGAATCGTCTTCCTGAAGCACAGACGCACCACGGGCTGTACTGCTCAGCCTGTGACGCTTGGACGTGAGTCAGAGCCGCCCGTGTCTCTACGCATGTTAATTAGAAGCTTCCAGAAAGGAGCCGCTTTTTGTCATATGCCTGAGTACCGTGAGTCTGTCGTCACTGACAGCAGCTGGGGATTAATATTAGGGGCTGGGAGGGTACGTGGTGCTGAATGAGCGAGTGCCGTCGACAGCCCGCTGCTGGTGGGAGTGCACTACCTGCCCCAGTGTGGTGAGCTGTGCACACTGCAGACCTCCAGCCTGTCACCGCAGGCAGCGAGCTGTGCACACTGCAGACCTCCAGCCTGTCATCGCAGGCAGGCTCCAGGTGCTGATCAAGCTTAGATTCATGGTCCTTCGTTGATTTTTCCCCCTCGGCCTCTCATGCCCTCCTCCTTACCCTGTTTCTGGCAAGCGATCGGAGCGCCCTCTACAGGCACCGCAAAGGGGTGTTTTTTTTTTTTTGGTTTGCTGAGTGGGGGGCTCCTGTCTCCCACAGCGGGTGAAATAAATATCCAATTATCTCCCCTCTGCAGCGACCCGGGCAAAAGGCACTGATTAAATCCTTTTCTCTCTGTGTGCAAACTCTGTATGTATATTAAAAAAAAAAAAACAAATGCACTCTGTGTTTGCCAAACATTTCCCTCCTTGCATCTTAAAAATGTTCGATTATGTTCGGGAATGTAAACGACAGAAACCAGCACAAATGACCGGCATTGGCTCATTTTGCTACCTACTGTCCCTGCAGCCTTAATGATTCTACATTTGCAGCATGACTGGATGCACTGGTTTGGACTGGCACCTATGTCATTAGTTTAAATCCCAGGGTTGGCAGAGTGATTTCACCATTGGGCCCCTGAACAAGGTCCTTCAGGGTCATGGGGAGTCTGGAGCCTATCATGGAGGCTACGGGCACAGTATGGGACGCGTACCCATTGCAGGGCAGTAGCAAATGGGAGCGTTGCAATGATTACCAGTATCTATCAGTTTGTTAATTATAAGCACGCACCTTGAGAATGTCAAATGATCAAGTTTGGTACCATTGTGCACGTGGCACAATTTCAGTGATTAATTTTTTGACAGCACAAAGCACCCAGTGACAAGCAAGCTTCGTTCACTTA